TCTGCCCCTTTGAAACCCTACTTGCCATTTTAATGAAATGGAGATCACAATCCTGCTAATCAATCAAGTTTGCAAGCAGCATATATATATATATATATATATATACCAAACTTTTGTGTATTATTATTATTATTAATTTGTGTTATTTATTTTTGTTTATGGCTGCTGTTTTTGCTTATACTGTATTAGGGCTGGGCGATAATACGATAACGATAATTATTGCGATATAATTTTCCTCGATAAAACGATATGAAGAGTTTGATAAATGTTCGTAAAGTTTGCCGAGCACAATCACTATCATTTTTTTAACGAGGATGAACGCGTCACAACCCTAAACAGCTGCAGCAGTGCTGTATAAATACATTTTAATTTGTACAGTAAATTTGTGTTATATGTAAACTGTGAACATTGAGTGCATTTACATGCACGTTTTTAAGCCGATTATGCTTAATAAGCTGAAGTGTGCATATGTGATGCATGACAGAACACATTGTTATTGCAGATTTAAAGGGATAGTTCACCAAAAATGAAAATTCGGTCATTAAAGGCAGAGTAAGGGATTTCTGGTAGCCAATGTTGATATTTGAAATCACCAAAACAAACACGCCCCTACCCCAAAAGGGTCTCGCCCCTATTTTGATAGCTCCGCCCCACATATATGTATGCAACCCAGGCATCGATTAGTTCTGTGAAACAAAGCAAAACTAATGTTACACCGTGTCTACGGACGTGAGTGGCGCGGCGCAACAAATCCCGACAGAAAACTGCTGCCGGGTTCTATTTATGACGTGCTGACACAAATTTCAAATGGTTTTCAACGGTCGTTTGATCGTGTCCAGTGTAGGCAGACTTTAGCTGTTGTAGACACGGTGTTACTCACCTATTGAGAAGAAACAAAGCAACCTCGGCGTCCGATCGCAGGCCTCCGTTCCTTGAGTTCTCTCCAGCGCTGGAAAGCTGATCCGATATTTACACGGGTCCTACTTCTTGCCTTATCGTTCCGCAGACGTTTTCCTCTTTTGTTTTTTATCCGCCATCTCTATCTTTCTGTCGCTCGGCTCGGCTAATGTCCGTCCCATGCACTGAACACGCTCTTCTCCACATCACGAGTAGACACGCCCCTTATTGCTGATTGGCTACAAGTTTGTTTTGCGAATCAGTTTTCTAAAGTGTTTTTGAAAAATCACTTACTCTGCCTTTAATTACTCACCCTCATGTCGTTCCAAACCCGTAAGACCTTCGTTCATCTTCGGAACACAAATTAAGATATTTTTAATGGAATCTGAGAGCTCTCTGACCCTCCATAGACAGCAAGGATACTACCACAAACAAGGCACAGAAACATAGCAAGGACATTGGTAAAATAGTCCATGTGACATCAGGGGTTCAACCTTAATTTTACGAAGCTACGAGAATACTTTTTGTGCGTTGTTTAAGTTTAGCATGCGCCGCTGTCTACTGAACGTAAACAATGCTGATTACGTTGATTACGTTCTGGGGTACTCTCCAAAATGGTGGAAGACGGTAAAGAAAAATTGCTGAATAAATTGTTATTATTGTTTTCTTTGTGCACAAAAAGTATTCTCGGGAAGACAACATAGTGTGTAAAAATGAATAAGCAATGGAGAAATTTCAGTTTCAGTGACTTTTCCCTCTACATTTTTACCTACTGTTGAAGTATTTATCTAAAATGCTCAGTGTGAGACAAAACTGAAATTTTTGTATAGTATAGAAAGCAGTCTGTGAAAAAAAAGTAGAATAAAATGCATATAACAAATATGAAATTAAATTGTATATAACAAAAGGAAATTTACTTATAACATATTTTGCATATAACAAATAAATGGTCTAAACATTTTGACCAGTGTGGCTCAATGACAAAAACGCTTTTTATTTTGGTGGCACTGACACAATAACTAGGTTTTGAAGCATGAATTAAATGTTTTGGGTGAGTTACTACCTTTTCCAGACATGCAATAGCGTTCTGATATTTCAGCAAACAGTTTTGACAATTGCACATGCAGTTTAGAGATTAAGACCGTTTCGAAAAATGTGCCAAAGCAGTTGAGAAAAACTGTACATTGTCATTCAAATGTTTGGGGTCAGTAAGATTTTAATTGAACTAAAGTGACAGTAAAGACATTTTAATGTTATAAAAAAAAACAACAACAGCAAAAAATCATATAAATATTGTTCTTTTGAACTTTATATGATCAAAAAGTCCTGAAAAACTATCATTCTTTCCACAAAAATATTGATCAGCACAATTGTTTTACCATTGGAAATAATAAGTGTTTCTTTAGCATCAAATCAACATATTCGATTTTTTTTTTTTTTTTTTGAAGGATCATGTGACACTGAAGACTGGAGTAATGGTTACTGAAAATTTTGCTTTGCCATCACATGAACACATTAAATTTTTTAAATATACTGCAATATAAACATTTATTTAAAATTGTAAAAATATTTCACATGATTACTGTTTTACTGCATTTATGAATAAATCATCACAGCCTTGCTGAGTATAAGAGACTTCTTTCAAAAACATTCAAAAATCAACCCCAAACATTTGACTCTAGTGTATCCTGGGAACATTATTTTTGTTGTTGCAATATTAATAACAATGAATCTCCATACTTATTTGCTGATATTAATATTTATGCTACAAAACATTTTTTTATGTATATTGTTTGGTTGGTTGGTAATTATAAGTACTTTTTCAAGACATTTAAATGAAATGTACATGGCACCCTACTATTGAATATACATATTCACAGAGATACAGAAGTAAATATTTGGCGATTGCAATTTCTCATGTAGACTGCAGCAGGGGAAGTACAACTGCAACCTTTGTGCTTTTTCCCCCCAAAGGATATAAGGTACTAGCTCTTCTAGACCCCACTGATGAAGAACAAGAGACAGCCGATATTTACATCCATGTGACGTACATCAAAAAATGGGATATCTGTGCGGGTGATGCCATCTTGAGGTCTCTTGGTGGTCAAATGACAACTCTCAAAGGAGAGAAGATTGATTACTCTGGGACAGAGGGAAACAAGGGCGGCCTACTGGCGAGCATTAAAACTGACCACAAGGCACTGGTGAAAAGACTTCCACCCTGGGAAGAGAGCAAACAATAATAAATCACTGCCCGGTCCTGTCCCTAACAGTCTCATTTTCTTCGGTACCACAAAGTTGTGTAGAAATATGAGAAAATAAAGATTTGCTTGTGACACTAGGTGACTGATCCAACATCAGTGAATGAGTGAATATGAGTGAGTTTGAAAACTGTTACAGGTTATAAACAAAGGAAGTGCGCCTTTGGGTTGTACAGTTCATTAGCTATGTACACTGAAAAAAAAAAAAACTTGTAAGATTTACTTAAAATGTGTTTGTGCAATTTGTTACGAGGATTTTTTAAAAGTAAATTTTACTGCTCTAATATCAAGTAGAACTTAATCGCTATTATTACGTAAAATCTACTTGCTAAACTTAACATTCATGAAGAAATTAAATCTAATTGCACCCTAATTAAGTAAATATTACTTAATTATATTTAATTTAAAAGTGTTTATTTAAAGTAAAGTTTATTTATTATTTTATAGACAGGAACCTTGCATTTATCAAAATATTAAGTAAATCCTACTATTTACTGAAGTAAATAAGTAGATTTAATTATATATGTTTTGTTCGAGATGTCCCATTTAGTTTTATGAATATAGATTACTCCCTATGATTATGTAAACATTGCAAATTTCTTTTTGATTAATATAACCACATAAACTATATTCATTTTGTCTATACCTGGGGTTCTGAACTCTGGCCCTCGAGGTCCACTTTCCTGCAGAGTTTAGCTCTAACCCTAATCAAACACACCTGAACAAGCTCATCAAGGTCTTTAGGATTACTAGAAAGTTAAAGCTTGCTAAACTCTGCAGGGACATGAACCTCGAGCGCCAGAGTTGAAAACCTCTGGTCTATACCTTTATCACAAATAACACAACTAAAATACAATTAAACTCTTTATTTTTCCAACATTAATAAGTGAATCAGTCACATTCACATACACAGTTTCGACCCCAGGAGGTATAAAATATATATAAAAAAATATTTAACAAACAACAAGATGAGGTTTTAACCTGACAGAGCTAGGTAGTATTGATATAACCAAAACTGCATCTAACATGAAAACCATCAGTCTGTCTTCCTCCCCACACCTCAAGTGTCCACTGTATTGGCTTGTCGTCAGAGTTAGGTCACCCTGTAAATAAACAGACACGATTTGTGGTATTAAAACAATGATCTAAAACATTTAACCACAATTTTATATTATGCAGTGAAGAATAGGTAAAAATAACAACAGTAATGTTATATCATGCAAATCTATGCATAGATTTATACTTGCCTGAATATGAGAATTAGACCAATCACTCCTTCTGTATGCTCATCAACTTACACTCCGGCTTATTCTGCAGTGAATCCAAAACCTTCCTGTTGATAGAAACATTTGTTCATAAGACTTGGCTTTTTAACCAACAAATTACAGATTGAGCAAAAGAAAAGATTTAACTAACAAGACTGGACTGGAATTAACTATAATTAAGTTGAATACCATCATAAAGAAGCGTAAAAACACTTTTACTAACACTTTCTATTCACACTTTTCAAAATCAGTCCTATAAAACATAATCGCTGGCGGCAACAGGTGCTTTAGGGTTAGGTACCATGTTAGCTTAGCATAGCGACAAAACACGACAATTAATGAGATACAGTGTTATTGCTCTAAACTCTATTATGTCAGTTGAGTGTTTGAAATAACAGAAAGCGTTATGCTAAATTATGCGATTGTTTTAATTTAGTAACGAGGTTAGCTAGCTAGCAGTTACAATGTTAAATAATTTCCAGTAATTTCCAATTGTGCTCAAGTTTTTACGTGAAAAACAGCTTTGTGAATCTCTGAACTATTGAAAACATTTTCGCTGAAATATCACTCACTGTGAACGCACGCAAGTTAACTTTAATGAGGTTATGTGATTAATATGAACGTCAATGTATAATGAGTCAAGCAAACAAGAATCAAACTATCGAAATGCACACGGACCAAAGTATTACAAATCAGAAATCTAAAACAGAAAGGCAAACTTACCTTAAACACGAGAAAATCCAGCCCTGCATCTCCTCCATGACAAGCCCAACTGTCCCTCTCTGATTCAAAGCCAAACATGCATGCGCGGATGAACTTTTAGATTAAAATGTACTCAATATTTCTAAATTTATGTGCAGTGACTATAAAACATGTAAATATTACAAGTAAATATTAATAAGAGTTACTATTCTCACACAGTTCATTAATTACATGAATTAAATGTGTACATTTTACTTGTAATATTACAAATCAAGGAGAACAATTTTCTAAGTAGAATTTATGATGATTAATATATTTTACAACAACACAAACTTTTTTTCAGTGTATTTTTTGACACATGTAAAGAATGTTTAAGTAAAAATGAAGTGAACCAGTAGCTTTATTTGATTTCCTGTTTGTTTTTTGAGAGTGTTGTTTCAAAAAATGGATGGTAAAACCAGGTTTAAATGGTTTTGGGTTAAGATTTAACTGTGAATACAGAGATAACTTGAATATGACATCCTTGTGCATAGCACCACTTCTCTTCAGTATTCATACCCTTGCTATGATTGTTGAGTCCCTACGGATAGTCATGGTACTGTTTCCCTTCTGACAAAACCTTGTGTGCATGAAAAAAAAGGAGAAAGAATAAAAGCAGTAATGTGGGGAATGGGGGGAAATCTGCATGTGCCATTTTACAGATCTTGTCTGAGATTTGAGGCATGTAATTTGGCTTCACATTGATAGATGTCTTCATTCTGCCTTTTTTCTGCATAAATAAAGATTATGGGTTTTATGGAGTGAACCTTCTTTTTTTTTTTCCTTTTTTTTTAGGTGCAATAGCATATACAGCTGTGAAAATGGTTAGTAAATCTAAATCTAAAACCTTATAAATTTTAAATTATTTGAAATAAACATTAACTGAAATAAAATTGAATATATATATATATTAAAAAAAAAAAAAATTCAGCTAGTTGCCAAGGCAATTTTTCTGACTTTAGTTTAACTTGATGTAGGCCTACTAAAATAAATAAAACTGAAAACAACAAAATGACTAAAACTTGAACTAAAATGAAAATGGAAAATGAAAACTTTTTCCAAAAAAAAAGCATATTTAAATGTATTTTATTTGAATGTGCTTTTATTGCATTTAAATTATCTAAACATCTGTTAGCAGATTATAAAATGTTTTTTATCAGTATTGGTCAACACATCTTAAAGATGTTCATAAATGTGAGCCAACAAGAGCATCAGTTTGTCCACCACAAGGTGGCAGGATAGTTTTATCTTGTGTTTTTATACGTGCTGTAGAGCAAGAACTTGTATTTCATGTTCATATAAAAAGTATAATATGCTAAACAGAAACGTATGTTTTTATGATCATGGAGCCATATTTAGTTTCTTGACCAGCATAAACTGTTTTGCGGATGCATTTTAAAACATAAATCAGAGTGTGCAGTGACACAGCAGGCAGTGAAATTGAGCCACTCAATTCCTGTTTTCCTGTTTCCACACAATCATACTCTTGCAGCTTTAAATGAATTGTCCAGCACCTCACAGCTAGCTATGCCACACTGTCTTTCTACAATCCTCATTTTTTTATTTCTGCAGACATCGTCAATTATCACAGCATGCCATTCTAACCCTCTGTGACTAAACTCCAGTGTGTCAATGCGATGATGTCGAATTAGAGAAAAGTCATGCCAATCTCCTGAGATGGCTTTTATCGAAGAAAGAGCAACTCCATATTTACAGTAGGACAATCGGTGGGATAGATTAATGTTTGAAATAAAAGTTTGACCTTATTACAAAAAGTAGGCCTGTTGTTTAATAATATGGCATGTATATGCTTCCTCCTCATCAAAAACACAACTGGCTGCTGATTCTTGCCATGATCAGCATATTTATGGATTATTGCATTATTCATAGTTACTATCTATTACCATCTCACTGATCTAATTGATATGTTGCTAAAAGGCTTGCTGCCATTTCTTTGATATGCTAAAGGGAATTGCACTTAATGGTGTTTTTATTCACCATGTCTGGCTTGGGTCCAGAATACAGATGTTCTTGGTAAAATGTTGATTTACGTGACTGTTTACACACCTCGTTTTTCTATAAATTTTTTGTCCCAGTTGTTTTTTATTTGAACATGTACAGTTGTGTTCAAAATGATTCATACTCTTAGTAAATGTGAAAGAAGGCTGTGAAAATAAGTCTGCATTGTTTATTAATTTGATCTTTCATCTAAAAGTAAAAAAATCTAACCTTTAAATGAAGTTAAAAAAAAATGGCCAACCCAGTCCTGACCTGAACCCTATATAAAGTGAGTGGGGTGAACTGAAGAGGAGAAGCACCAACATGGACCTGGAAATCTGAAAGGTCTAGTGATTCTGAATGAAGGAATGGTCTTTGATCTCTTGTCAAATATTCTTCAAACTCTTCAGGCATTACAGGTCTTCACTCAGAACTGTTATCTTGGCAAATAGAGGTTGCAAAAAATTCAGGCATTACAGGTCTTCACTCAGAGCTGTTATCTTGGCAAATAGAGGTTGCAAAAAATTTAATAAAAGAGAATGATTAATTGTGGCCAATGTGTATTAGAGAAACACATTTATTTCATATTGAGATCACCCCCCCCCCCCTTTTAAATTCTTATTCTTTAATGAGTTTTTGGTTTTTGTAATTTTTGTAATAAAATTTCAAAAGGATTAACGGTGTAGATTTATTTTCACAGCCTTCTTTGATCGTATTTACAGAGGGTATGAATAATTTTGAGCACAACTATATATACTTTATATAGTTCCTTGCAAAAGTATTCATACCTCTTTTTCACATTTTATGTGAAAGACAGATCCAGCAGCGATTAATCTGCCTTTAAATTACTTTTTTTTTCACATCAGTCTACACTCCATACACCTGTCTTGGATGTGGACATTGAGGCTCCTCTCAACGGTCACCAGAAGGCTCCCTCTCCTGAATTTTGACCCTCTCCTTGTCACTACATTTGCCTCTGCCCACCCGATTATCCGGCACCTGTAGGCCATTTTTATAAAGTATTTAAGCCCTGAACTGACTATTGCTCTTTGTGAAGCCTTTGTTGCCATGGGACATTTCTGAGCATTCTACCCTTGTCTGGATTACTCTGTTTAACACAGAAGACTTTGTCAGCGACAGATCCAGCAGCATTACAGCAACTATCATCTGAATTATCTGCCCAATCGAATGTTTTGGCTGCTCACCAACAACAACTGTTAGATGAGCTGGTCTGGACGCTACAAGACCTGCGAATGAGTCCTGCCACAATGCCTCCCCAAATGCTTTTCCGTGAAGTTTTTGAACATTATGTGGGAGGTTTGGAGGCTGGTGATTAGTTGCTTAATTTACATCAGGGAAGATTTGCTGCAGATTATGCTCTTGCATTTTGCACCCTTGCTGCCCATAAGGTTTGGATGCATGACACATTTAAAGTACTCTTCAGAAAAGGATTAAACCCTGAGTTGCAATCAGAGCTAGCCTGCCGAGATGAGAGAAGGAATTTGGATCAATTTATTCATTTGGCCATTCGTATAGACAAATCTTGTGCGCTCCCAAAGACCTCCCAGACCTTCACCAGCCCTGAGTACACTGCCTGTGGACGAACAAGAGCCCATGCAAATTGGACGCACGTCAAATCAGTTATCTGCCCAATCGAATGCTTTGGCTGCTCACCAACAACAACTGTTAGTGAGAATCAGACACCAACTATGTTTATACTGTGGCCAGACGGGACACTTCAAGGCAAACTGCCCCACTCGGCCACCTCAAGATGATCCATCAGCCGTGAGTATTTTGGGTACTTTTTTCCTGAGTATAGCCAGTTTGCTATTGCCAGTAATTTTGATGTTTGCCACTATAAACTTTAATTCTGAGGCCCTGATAGATAACAAGCTGGGGAGCCCAGTGTTTTAACCAGTGCCTCTCAGTCATCTCTTCTACCACAGTCAGAGCAACTGCCATCACCAAAGCAGCCAATATACCTCACCTGCCTTCCAGAGGCGGCTCGTCGGGGGAGGCAGGGGAGGCACAGCTTCCCCAAAATATTGAGGTGAAAATGGGAGGAAGACGATTTAATGTTAATAAAATTCATAATTCATTTCAGTTCATGTCTCAGCATGTGTATTTTTGTTTGTAATTTCACAGCTGTAATACCATAACATGTTAATGAAGTGGGAAAGTGCCACTTTTCTATCGCGAATGTGCCGAATCTGCTGATGTAATTACAACCACAAGGTGATATAGAAGGGTAGGGGGAGGCCGGGGGGAGAGCTCGAGCTCTCGTGCCTCCGTTGGTAAAAAAAATTAGCCAATCAGCATCGAGTGTTCACTTTCAGTGCTGAGGAGTGTTGAGAAAAGAAACCTCGTTAAGGGAGGCTAGCCTCCCTTCTGATATCAACCAATCATCAAAGAGACGTAAATTACGTGATATTAGTTTGAACATCTCCAGCTGCGCTGATAATGTAACAAGTACTTATGATGAGTAGCAATATTGAATATTTGATCGCCAACAGATTTACCAAGCTGTCATTCAAACAGTAGCTCTCTTTTAACACAGACTTTTAAGAAGGGATGGATGTTTGCTTCAAGTGATAGGCCAGGTAAGTGAAATTATATTATCTTGCTGTATGTGTGTCGTTTTCTTTACGTTTTCTGACTAAACGCAACCAAAAAGCCATTTTAAAGTGGTTAAGCAAATAATAATAATAATCGGCAGGGATCCCAGACCAATACAATTAGTGTGCCTCCTCTATTTTAAAACCCACGAGCCGCCACTGCTGCCTTCAGATGATCTTGACCTCACCAAAGCCTTCAGCAAAGCCAAGGCCTCACGCTAATGCGTCTGAGCATTTATTACAACACAATAATAACAAAGCAACAAAAAAATGTTACAGCCTTGAGTTTCTTGGTATGATGCGCCAAGCACATCTGCATTTAGCAGTTATCTGTCATTATCAGCTCTAGTCCTGGTTGTTCCAAACTTCTTCTATTAAGGATAATACAGGAGATTTTCTTCTCTTGAGATCTACAGGGAGTTCTTTTGATCTCATGGCTTTTTAGACCTTTAATTGAGATGTGTGTTTGCCTTTCCAAATCATACCCATTCAATTGAATTTGCCACAGGTTAACTCCACTTGAAGTGTAGTAATATCTACAAGCAATACTGGAATTTCAGGTGTCTCAGAAAAGGGTACAAATACTTATGCAATATACTTAACTTATGCAACCGTTTTTTGTTTTTTTGTGGCAACATAAACTGTGAAAAAAATGAAGGGGTATTAATACTTTCGCAAGGCACTGTGTATATATAAACCATTATTTTCTTAAAACTGTATATAACTTAACTTTTTTTTTTGGGATTTTTTACAAGAACACGTTAAATTTATCTAGGAAATAATTTTTTTTACTAAGCATTCTCTTATTTTTGCTCCTTTTCAAAGTTTTTTAATGTATTTTACTGAAATTATTTTATTGTGTTCTTCAAATATGAAAATCATTCTAAGAAAATTTTCACTTTTTGAACTATGACAATCTAAATAAAACTGAAATATCACAAACCAATTCATGATTTGTTCTTTTAAAATGATTTATATACATTTTTACACAAATTACAATTGTGGTGTTACATCCACCACAAATGAAAAATTTGCCACAATTTTTACAAATGTTTTATGAAAAGTTGGCATATTTGCTTACCAAGGAGACACATATGTCAGTAAAGAGCTTAAGATGAATGTCAGCGTGTGGGAAGACAACAAAGAAAATGGTTAATATCACTTGCAGACAGGGGTGCCATGAAGAGTTTTAAGGGGGTATGCATGACAGAAATTTGGGCGCCCTTCTTCCAGATGAATGTGGTTTTTTTTCCCCCGTTTAACACTTAATAAGAAATTGAAAGAAACTCTGGCAGATCCCATGTAGGGACGGTGATGGGGCGAGGCGGGTTGAGCCTCCTAGACCCCTCCAAAAAGCGAACAACTAGGTTGTTCTTGCCCACCGATTGGCCAGCTATAGGAGCGTGAGAGGCTGCTATGGCTGCTACATAGACCTTGAGCATGGAAGGGGAACGACCCTTATCCAACAGCTCTTGCAGGAAGGACAATATCAGAGATATGTTGCAGGAAATTGGGTCTGCGCCACGGGCTGTACACCAAGTGAAGAAGACAGACCACTGTACAGCAAGCGGAGAAGAAGAGGGCATAGAGCCATCTTGTAGATGGTGCTCTAGCCTGAGATATTGTATTTAGTATGCTCGCGGTGAGGTCTGCAGGCTCCCATCGAGAGGCCAAAGGTGCAGAGCCCACAGCTTGGGCTGGGGGTGCAATATCATTCTGTTCGCCTGAGAGAGGAAGATCCGTCTCAGGGGAATGGGCCACAGGGCTGCTGAGAGCAGCCGAGACAGCTCTGCAAACCAGTGTTGGTTCCTCCAGAGCGGGGCCACTAACAAAACCTTGTATTTCTGTTCCCTGATTCGCCTGATTACCTGTGGAATCAGGGCAATTGGTGGAAAAGCGTAAAGGAGGAGGTCGGGCCAGTCATGGGCCAACGCATCCCTGTCCTTCGAAAAATAAGTTGACGAAGAAAAAGTTAAGTTCAAGGGCTATGAGAGTTGTCTTCTGAGGCGAAGAAGTCGACCTCTGCCTTGCCGAAGATCTCCCAGATTCTCTGAACCATTTGTGGGTGGAGCATCCACTCTTCTGAGGGGACCTTGCTCAGAGATAGCATGTCTGGTCCTTGCTAAGCCTGTCCGTCACATGCGCTGCTCTGGTCCACCTTGACACCTTCGTGGTGTCCGAGATGCCAGGCGTGGGACGGAACTCGTGGTTTCAGCCAGTACTGAAGGGGCCGCATGTGAAGCAGACCCAACTGAAGTACCGGAGACGCAGAGGCCATGCGGCCCAGCATCTTCTGAAATGCCTTGAGAGGGCGAGAGGCTCCAACTTTGAATTAGGCTGCGAGCTGCTGAATGGCCAGTGCATGTTCTGGCGTGACTACCACCCTCATTTGGGCTGAGTCGAGAACTGTTCCCAGCAACGATATTCCTGGCCAGACTATGAGTTCATGAACGGCCTCCTTGGCCGTAACAGTACAGACAGAGAGCTCATGGACGGCCTCCATGGCTGTGACAGGACAGGCAGTGAGTTCATGAGTGGGCGCCACCGCCTTGGGAGGTTCTGCAGCGGAAGCCGCCACCTCTGGAGGTTCTGCAGCGGATTTGTGGAAATGAGAGATGGCTGAGTCAGATAGAAAGATGGCTAGCCTACGCGTAATATGGAGATTTACTTGTAAATATTAATACGCATAATATGGAGATTTACTTGTAAATATTAATAGGCATTTATATAGCCCTGGCAGCCCCTGAAATGGGTCGTATTGACATTACCTGAGTGGTTGAAGAATACGCTACAGCGCTCATTCAAAGACGTGCATTTATTGCTTGGACGGAGCAAGAGCACCTAAAATGCATGTGTAGATTCAGTCGAGTGATAAAGTTTACCCTCTTCAAATGAATGCTGTTGAACTGAATTTACGGAGCAAACTATTTGCTAAAATAACCATTAACAGCAATACAGTGGTTCTGTCAGATGCGCGTGAAAGCTGCATGTGTTACTATAACAAATACTGCGTGTTTTCTTTCAGAATCATCATTGGCTGGTAGAAATACAAAAATAGGTTACATAACAGTTTTTACTGACACATTGTCAATTAATCTGATCATATGCTTTTTGTAAGATAGAAAGAAGAGGAGCTCACACATCACATGAGTCACTTTATTAAACATTTTTAGTCAGTTATTATGAAATAATAGTAATTGAGTGGTAACATTTTGATAGCTAGCCTATATTAAATTTTACATGTCAGATTCAGTGACCCTAGCCAATTGCAATCATAAGCATTTCTAAGGAACAGTAGGAACTGTAGGCTAGATCTCCAACAGGGCCGGAGTGGGAGTCATTTTCAGCCCTGGAGTTTCATGCCTTAGAGTGGCCCACTTTAGTTCACGACTGACTATAGCTATTACAATAATGTAATTAAAACTTCAGTACATAAGTCTGCAATAGCGCACTGTTCTCTACAGACTTTTAATTCATTCCCAGTCAACACGTGAGATCATGCAATGATCACAGTGACATCACACGATTCTCATACTGTGATCCTCACCGTGTGTAAGAAATTATAGTCTGCCTCGACCCAGCTTCCACTCCAAATTGTGTATTAAACTATGCTCCTTTCTCTACAAAGAGCTTAATTATCATATAGATAGTTCTTTCCGATCTTAATCATATGTAAATAGTACCTCCGGAGTGATAATTTGTCACTTATAGCGTGGGAGAAGCAGCAGGTCGTCAAGAACCATCTGCTGACCAAAAGGGTACATGAAATAACTGCTATGGATTCTGTTTAATCTTATCACCTTAACATTTGGTTGTTCCCACTTGAGTCTACCGAAGATGTGGGAACGGAAGGCTATCACTTTCATTGTCATCCGCAATTTACATTTAAAACGAAACTTAATTTACATGTTGAGAGGGAAGATAAACGTAATACTGTATAAAATGATTGAGCTTAGGATGTTCGGGGTTCAGTCTGACTCCGTTGAACCCAAGGTACTACATGTACTTTGTCACTACTATTCTGTAATAAAAGTTATTCTTCATCAAGATAAAATGTTGTGCTTTTATAAAATAAAGAAAACAAAGGCTGCCGTCTCGGGCTTGACCAGGAGCGCGTCACAATGATGAACCTAAACTCCGCGAATTGCCTCACAGACATGATAAAAAAAAGTTCTTTAATTTAAAACGAAATAATTCAAATCGAAAATAGAAACTCTTTCATTATGTAATCCGTGCATTTGTCTCTAAAGGCACATCCCATGAGGAGATGGCGAGTCATATTTTTCATCATAATTGATGGATATCTAAAATATAAAAATACGGAAAAGCCTAAAACAGGCCCGATTATAATTTGCGTTTTATTTTATAATTCCGTACAATTAAAAAATAAAACACAAATTATAATGGCATAGCCTATATGTAAAACTTTGTCCATTAAAAAACATTAAAAACATGCTAAAAAAACAGTTTTAAAATTACTTTATTGCATTCTAGATGCTTTTATAGTAATTTTCACTATAAATTTTACGGGTAGCTTGAATGTAAACATTGTCATGTCGACAAGCACTAGGACAGCAAGAACTGACCCCCCCTCCCCCATCTGGATTCATTTAAGCAACAGAACGTCACTAGGTTTCGTGACTGGCTTCAGCATAAATAAACCATCTAATGGAC